CTGGACTCTAGCTGTAGTTTCTTAATTTAGTGAGTTTAGTTTACATATATATACACAGTTAAAAGCATAGCACACTTCTAAGGCTACCTTCTATGGCTCACTTTTTCAATTTAACATAGAGTGTATGATTCATCCATTTCGTTGCATGTACCTGCAGTTCACTTGTTTTAACTAATCTTAAATGTTGTGTGTGTGAAAATAACACAAGAGAAGGGTAAGCCAGGATTCATGATGCTGGTTACTTCCTGTGAGAAGAGGCCAAGAGTAGGATAGGGAAAGAGAACACAGTATGTCACTGTCAATAGTCCTGTTCTGATGCTGGGTGATACGTTCACAACTGTTTCTTATAATATTAATTTTAATACATTAATTCCTATGACAGGCACCTAAGAAGAGAATGTATCATGAACCAAGACATACAATGGGTAATATTACATCATTATTGTTATGTTATCTTTTTATAAAATATATTAATCATAATCTTACATTATGTGTTATGTGTTATATAGATGCATAAATTATATATTATGTATATAAACACCTGCATATGTATTATATACTATCTACTAATAAATAAACAGAACATAATATTCTAGTATATCTACTATTATGTATTATTTAATAAATAATAACATACTATATCCTGTTATATGACATGGCACATAATCTTTAATAAAATAAGAAATCTGTCACTATATATAATGGGAACTAATAATTAAAAAAAAAAACCGCCCACAGCTTTTAACGCCGACACTGCTCCAGCTGTCATTGTCTTTTCTCTTCCCTTTCATGGTTGAGGTCCTCACAATGCTATACATTCCCCCTTTCATCTCCTTATCCTGAACCTTCCTCCTCCTCCCATCCCATGCTGGCTTCTGCCCCATGGTCCCTTTAATCACCAGCAGCTTCTGGGGCATTGATTTCTGGGCATGGTCTTAGGCCCCAGCTCACCTGCCTGTCTTCCACCTCTGCCACTGCTGGTGGGGGTGGGGCAGGGGGCAGAGTGCATCTCTCGTCCTAGAAGAGAACAAAGTACAGACTCAGTGACCAGCAGCAGGTGTGGCCAGGACCTGCAGGACTGAAGGGAGAGCCAGGCTGTCTGCATCCAGACCTGGGGCACTTGGAGTGTGAAGAAGCCCAGTCCTCACTTTCCCTGAAGTGAGGAAAACACCCTCAGGTGAGTTAAAGTGCTTATGACCTAGGTCTGTTGGCTGGAAAGGACAAACAGGCCCCTAAGGGGAGGGTAGTTGATGTTCCAGGCCCCACCAAGGCCCTAAGGGCTGGTGGGGAACCAGGCTGATTGCTCCACTGGACACAGTGCCACCTCGAGGGTGGGGCCTTTGGGAACAAGCAGAAAGCCCTTGGTCTCTGGGGGGAATGGGGCAGTATGGGATCATCCCTGCAGTGAGTCAAGTGATGTCAGGGCCTGCGGGATCCATTTTTATGGCCACATCGGGCCTCAGCAGAAGCCACAGCAGGAGTGGATTCCTGTTTTTCCAGCTGTCATCCTTGTGTCTGAGTGCCAGGCTTCAGACCCGATCCCCTGGGGCGCTAGGACACTTATAGACAGAGGTGGCTCGGGGAGGCCTCAAGAGGGTGGTACTGGCCTTCCTGCCAACACGATTACATGAAGATTGAACAATCCATCAATGGGAAGACATTAAGAACCATGGTCACATCTGGACCCCAAGCTTAGACGTGGTGCATGGGTGACATTTATTGACAATCCAGTGAGGATCTTGCCAGAGCTAGAGGCCAGGGCAGGAAGCCGGGAGTGGTACTAAGGAGCCCCATGGTGCAGAGGCTGGACTGGAGGCCTGCAGGCTCCTCCCAGGAGAAGCCTCGGCATTTGGGAGGTGGCTAACATGCCTCCTTCATGTCACCAGCAAGTGATTCCACCTGTGGAAAGTCAGCTGTCATCCTGAGCCGGGTCAGCCCTGGGTGATGTGATAAAGGCTCCTACAGAAGGGGACGCCAGATGGACAGAAAACCAACCAACAGGCTGATGAGTTTCCCACCTGTGTTTATCATGCTTTCATAGACAAGAATGAGGAGAGAGCTGAGTTGCTCACCATGAAGATTTTAAGAACTTGAGAGGGTTCCGTGTCTCACTGCATTTCAGTGTCACCTGAAGGAATTCAGGTGGTGTTTAGACCCAGGGGAGGCTAATGGCCTCTCGGTTCCTCACCAACCTGGCAAACCCACCAGCCTTCTATGGCCAGAACTTGGCAAGTGCCTTCCCTTGTGATAAAAAAACCTTTCCCACCCACACCTGTGGTAAGCTTTTGTTTTTTTAATTAATGGGAATGAAGATACCTTACAGCCTCCTCAGACAGTTCCTTAGGGCTTCTTCCCTTAGACCCCAGCAAGGGGGCCCACTGCCCTGGGTCCTGCACTACAGAGGGTCTCCCTGGCCCTGACACTTCCTCCGTCCATGCCCTCCATTGGGTGGAGTCAGCAGGGCCAAGGGGACATGGTCATTGGCTCCATCCCGTGCTCTAGAAACCCAGACGCCGAATGCCCTGCCTCAGCAGCTCCTGACCCATTTCTAGTGACTGCACTGGCTCTCCCCAGATTTCAGATTCCCAGGACTCACAGAGAGGCCAAAGGGCAGCTGTTTGGATGGAGGGTACAGGCAGAGCCCAGACGTGAACTCTGAGTGTCCCCCTGTGCACATCCAGGTCCCCTTGTGGCAAGGGATGGACCCAGCATTGGGAAGAAAAGGGTCAGGCTAGTGATCAGAGTCTGGGAATCAGCTCTCCCCACATGCTCATTTTCTTTGCAGAACTCCCCTGAGTCTGGGAATTCTAAATTTGAACCTGGCCTTCCCCCTTATAATGAATGTATATTTGTAAAGGCGGGACTTTAGAACCTACTGCACTTAAAATGTTTAGATGTATAGGATGTGAGCTCCCAGGTATGCTCTGGAACTGCACTTCCAAAGGTCCAGAGTATTTATGTTGGCTCTACTGAGACTGTAAGTGGCAAAGACAGTCCCTAGAGAGGGGTTCCTGCTTCATGCTCCAAAGTCAGGATCTTCTGAGTGGATAAAACAATGGACACTGAGACCCTTAATTGTAAATTGATTTAGAATAACACCAAAGGTGTGTATGACGTGTGTCACACGTGCACCTGAGGACATGTGTGGTACATGACTGTGACTGTGTGTGTGTGTGTGTGTGTGCGCACGTGCATGCACGCTCCTGTGGATGTATGTGATTGTGTGTATGTTATGTGAGTGTGTGCACCTGAGGACATGTGTGTTTGTGTGTATGGTATGTGTGTGTTGGGTACATGAGTCCGTGTGTGTGCGTGTGGGGATGTATGTGGAGCAGAGTCAGTGTGTCTGCACGTGTGTTTGTGTGTCCGTGCATGCATTAGTTTTAACAGTAGAAGCTGTCCTTTAGAATTCTGAAGTAGTAAAAATTGTATGATGTCCTTCGCTGTATAATTCAAAATTAAAATAATCTTCAATCACCAGAAATTCATTCCACCCCCCGGATTCTGATTTTTTTCCATATTGATATGTCTTCACTTTACTGATGAGGAAACTGTAGCTTAGAGATGTTAACTGACTCAACCAAGGGCATGGAGCTCACGAGCCCAGGGCCAGGATGCAGTCCAAGCCACGTTGCTCCAGAGGCCTGGAGCCCTGCTCACGATCACGTGTGGCCTCTTGGCAGGGGAACAGATTCTGATAGGCTGTGGTCAGCGTGCAGGCTGCCCAAGCTGTGGACTCAGGAAGCCGGGCAGAGAGTACCAGACAGCAGACAAGAGTGAAGGGCTGCTCAGAAATCAGATAGGTTCCTAGGTTTTGGATGAGTAAGGAGGCTTACTGCTCATCCTTGATCCCTTTGCTGGTGGCTAAAAGGGACCAAGGCCCATGAGAGCACTTCTGGGAGCTGCCTGCCAAAACCTGGAAAAGGACTGCTCAGTACGGGCTCTGCAGTAGGTGCAGAGGAAGGAAATATCGCCTCTTGGTGGACATTCTTGGTGAAGGCAGTAGGAGCCCTAGAAGCCTTGGTATGGAGGTGGCAGGAGAGGGTCCTAGTGGATGATCATTTTCACATGTCTTAAAAATCATTGCTTCATATATTGTATCCATTTTGTGGTTTATTTTAGGATGGTAAATATGGTCTCTGTTACTCTGTATTAGCTGGATTGATTAATTTTTGTGTTAATTTTCTCTTCAATGATTTGGAAGCTATATTGCCTTTTAAATAAAATGTCTCTAAATTTTTATATATCATCTCTAAGTTCATAACTTTATATGTAATTGGACCAGTATTCCTATAACAGCCTCAATGAATTAATCTATTAGATCCTGTTCCTCAATAATGACAAATTTAGCATATTTTACCTCTCTGCTGTTCCAGATTGTGTGTGTGTGTATGTGTTTGTGTCCTCCAGTTACTACTTTTTAGACAGTTGCTTCAAGTTTGTTACATTAACAATGAAAATATAGGTATAAACTTCTTGGATTTCATTGCTCACTACCACTATTTAATCCCATGTCTTTCCCACTTTTGAGTTATTTTTTTATCTGGATTTTCAAATCAACTGGACACATGATTGGCTGTTTTTCAAGCAGTGGACTTGGAACACTTACATGTCTATAAGCAGCTTTATGTTCTCCTCCTCAACAACTGTCAGCATGTTGTTGATGGCCCAAGCCTTGTTTTAAAATATGACATTGTTTTTCTTCACCAAAAAAAAAGTTTTCTTGATTTCAAGTGCTGTCTTTTTATGACTGGCTAGTCTTGTCTAGTGAATAGAGGTTTCCTTAACCTTCCTTCTTCTTTTCGCCATAATTCAGATTCATTGAGATGCATGTTTTTACCATTTCTCAGATGGGCTTCTGATTTGACTTCTGCTTTAAATCATAACCCCACTCTTTTTCCTCCATGCCTATTCCTGAAAAAGTGAGCTCTCTATTGGATTAAAGATGGTTCCCATCAGAGATGTGTGACTCCCTGTCCAAAGGTCCAAAGGAAGAGAAAAGGAAAGATTCCTGTTTCTGGTGGTTATATTTTGTCAGCTTAGAGATCTAGTTATGTGTGTGGCTGTGGTGGAATCTGCAATATCTTGGCTCAGAGTTTCCTTTTTCTGGCTTACTAGGGGAGCCGCATTAGCTGGGGTCATGGCGCTGTGGCCATTGTTAGGATCCCAGGGCTGAGGCAACCCCTCTCCCCCGTTGTTATTTTGATCTTGCAAACTGGGTCCCAGCTATGTGAACCCTGCACCTGGAGGCCAGGATTGCCCCCCATGTGACGTGTCTCCAGTTCTTTGGCATCCCTCACTGCTACCAGCTAGCTCCAGTAAGGGTACGAGCTGGCTTCCACTGTGGTCCTTCCTCCTTCCTCTCCAGGCAGGCCCTCCTTTACCACTAGTTGGCCCTAAACCTTCTCTCCTGCACTACATACGCTGAAGGAATTCCTTAGCGTTTCCAGCAGGTAGATGGAGCTCTTCTATGTTTGGACCACTTCAGTGCTTGCAGTGGTAATTTAGGAGATGGAAAGAAAGAGCTTGGGGGTTCTCTGTATCTAGGGGTTCCCTATCCAGCAGATTCAACTAACTGTGGATTGAAAATATTTGGCAAAATACAGAAA